CCCCCCCCCCCCCCCCCCACCAAAAGTCTGTGGGGAGAGGGGAAAGGGCCATGTGGGGAGGGAGCGAGGCTGAGGCTGGCCCTGGGCAGGGCTCAGACTCAGGGCTGGGGTCTGCTGCACCCATCCAGCTTCCCCTTCCCCCATGCCAGGGGTCATTGCCTGGCACCAGCATCCACCACCTCCCAGCCCTGCACTGGCCCTGGCTACCTCCCTGCAGCGGCCGCAGTCTGGCCCCAGCTCTGCACCACATAGGGGGGCATAGAGCTGGAGGAGGGCCAGCCTTGGCTGTGCCGCCAGGCCAGAGGAGACCCCACCCCATCTAAGTCATCCCCAGGAAGATGGCTCCTGCAGAGTCGTGGTGCCAGGGAGCCAAGGGGGGACATGGCCACCCCACTCCTTGCATAGGGCAAGGGAAGGTTGCAGCTGCAAGGCAAGCTGGGCTCTGCCTGCTCTGTACCTCCACACCTAGCTACAGCCTTTGAAAGCAGCACACCACCATGTGCGTTCACCCACTGCGTAGCCTGGGCAGCAAGGCACATGGCACTGTGCCACACCACTTTCAAAGACTGCAGTGAAGCATGGAGCAGGCAGAGTTCAGCTCGCCTCACAGCTGCAACCCACCCTTGCCCCATGCAAAGATCGGGGGGAGGGTCATCTGCCCCCAGTGACTCCCCGGCACCATAACTCTGCCTCCCCTGGCTCTCCCACAGTACATGCAGCGGCGGGAGTCACCGGGCTCCAATTGCCCCATGACCTAGTCCGGCCAGGGCCCCATTCTCCATGTGTATATTAAACACATACAAGGTATATTACACACACACATTTTCCAGCACAGCAAACATTATGAAGCATTCTGGTAAGGTAGGTGTCAGGTCTTCTGGTAGGGGAGTGAGAGGGGGCAGAGGGAAAGCTGTAAGTTCAACCCCCCTAGTCTCCGCAAACTTTGATGCACCCTCTTCCCTAGCAGGCATGAGGCTTCTGCTGCTAGTGGCAGCAAGGAGGTGGGAGCAGTGTCTACACCTGCTCCACCTCCATTAACACAAGCAATAATAATAATCTCCAGCACCACCAGCATGACAAGCACCAGTATGACAGTCTCCTCAACCCCAAATTCAGTTCCCAGCGTGAGTCTCCCAGTGCCAGAGAAGGAGCTGGATCTGGAACCAGGGGAGCTCAGTGCCATAGTCAGGGAAATTCTGGGGAACAAGGGGGAATCAGAGTTTCTGCTCTACACCCCTCAAAGTTCCCCTAGAGCCAGGTCTCCTTCTACAGAAGGCACTGCAGAGGAGGTTGTGGGGGCAGGTGGACAAGAAACACTTCAGCACCATGGGGATGCTGATGCATATCAGGAGGTACCAGCCCCTTCCCCTTGCTCCTCCTCAGCCTGGCACCAGTGGGAGTGTGCTCAAAGGGAATTCCCCCTCTCACTCCAAAGCCCCCGTCCCCCAGAAGCAGAAGCAGACCACCCTGGACCAGTGGGGGAAAGGTGGGGACAAACAAGGACGTGTTCCCAAGGCGAGTGAGGTCGCCCAGAGCATTGGGGAGATGCTTGCTCTGGATGGCCAGCCCTTCTCCTAAGTTGAGTGGCCAGTGTGCAGCAGGACGGTGGTGCCCTCCCTGTATGAGGCATGCAGGGAGTACTTGAGGGAGGAGCTGTACAAGGCAGGTCTGCAGGTGGCCTTACACTTCACCTCGGATACATGAAGCAGTCGGGGTGGAGATCATGCCTACCTCTCCCTCACAGAGCACTGGTGCAATCAGTCAGGCTGTCAGTGGGCTCTCCTTCAAGCCGAGGTGATGGATGAGTCCCACGTGGCAATGGAGATCATGGAGGCCATGAACCACATGGTGCAGGGGTGGCTCATTGGGCAGGGTGAGTTTATGGTCACCAGCAATGGGGCCAATATGGTCAAGGCAGTCTGTGATGCCAACTTTGTTGGCATCCACTGTGTGGCACACAAGTTCCACCTTATAGTCAGGGATGCCTTGGAGGGGGACAGGGCTGCCAGTGAGGGCAACATCACTACCACCCAGCTCATTTCAAAATGCAGGAAGGTGGCGGGCTACTTCCACTGGAGCATCAAGGTGGGCAAGATGCTGTGGGACAAACAGGCAGAGCTGAGCATCCTGCAGCACAAAATCATGCAGGATGTGGAGACTCGGTGGAACTCCACGTACCTGATGCTTGAAAGGCTGGTGGAGCAACAGAAGGCCATCCATGAGATGGCCTTGCTTGGGGAGATTCGGATCAGCAGCCCCCTTAACAAAAGAGAGTGGGATACCATCTCCCAGATCTGGGTGGTCCTCAAGCCATTCCTCAAGGCCACTGAGAACCTCAGTGCTAGCAATGCCCTCCTTAGCCAGGTGATTCCCATAGTGAGGGAGCTTCAGAACCAAATGGAGAAGTTCCAGGGGAGCAATGTTCATGGCTGGGGTAAGCTGCAGTCACCAGAGGGGCAGGCACTACTAAAGCAGCTGAAGGATGGCATCAAGAAATGGTTGGATCTGTTGCAGTCCAGTATGGTCCATATGCTAGTGCCTATGTGTGACCCAAAGGTGAAGGGGAGCATGTGCACCAGCAAAACCCTGGATCACTGGATAGAGGTGCTGGTGATCAGGGTCAGGGAGGCAGAAGGGCAGAGGCAGGGGGACATGGAAGAGGGGGATCTACTGTCCGGTGCCAGCACTCCATCCACTAGCCAGTCTGCTCCACCACAGGTGCTGCCAATGTGGGCCAAGGGCATGGCTTCCATGTTGGGGTCCAGAGGCACCAGACCCCAGCATCAGGCAGGTAGCACCAAGGCCTCAGTGGCTACCTATGTCACCAAGGATACGGAGCCATTGCTCTGCAACCCATTGGCCTCCTTGGCAAACCACAGCCAGATGTTGCAGGATCTGGCCACAATTGCCCGGGAACACCTGTCCTGTCCACCAAACAGTGTTCCAAGCAAGAGGGTGCTTAGCATTGCTGGGGATGTTGTGACATCCCACCACACCTGCTTGAATCCTGGTTTGGTAGAGCAGCTGGTGTTCCTCAAGGTGAACGTCCCACTGCTGGGGTTCCCCAAGCTCCACGTGCAGACAGAATGAGTGTAACCATCCTCACTCTGTCCGCACCTATTTCCTTTTTAACATTGTTTTTTAAAACTGTTTAATGTTTCACTCTCGGAGCTGGAGGCAGTGTATCACCAGCCAGCAGGAAAAGAACATATACCTGCTGAGCTTCTGTGCCAGGATGGGCTTGGTAGTATGGGCCAGGGCTATGAGGAAGGAAGAGGCCCGAGGTCCTGGGCATGACTTAGAAGTGCACCCTGCCAGGGTCAGGAGTCCTGGTGGGACTGCCAGTGTCATGGCAGCCCCCAAGAAATGCCAGGACCACAAACTTCTCTGGTGAAAGGCGGGTAGGAGGTGCCTTATAACCTCCAGCCACCACATAAACACAGTCCTGGCTGGGGAAAGCCCAGACCTGTAAGATCTTTGAGAGGCCTGAGGCTTACTGGTTGCAGTGGAGTTGTGAGGCTCCAGGTGAGCTGCCTGGGATGCCATCTTCAAGGCATGGGCCGCAGTGTTAGGGGAGGTATGGAGCTGCAGAATAGATGTTACCTCTAGACATCAGAGGCCTAAAAGGGCAGCCTCCTGCCTGGGAAACATCTGAATCAGTTTTGCATGGGAAGCAAAAGAGGGGTGGGTCATTGGCCCAGAAACAGGTGGGCGGGTGGAGATCTAACTGGCACCAGGAAGGCCCCCTGTTACAGGCTACCACCCCTGCTGGTTTCATCCCACTGTGCCTTAACACACACACACACACGTCACTAGTTTTGCTTTGAACAGTTTGAGGTGCCATTTCACAGAAACACCTGCGCCTATCTCCTTGAAATGTGGCAGGCTTCATGGCCGCAGAAGGGGCTACCACTCCTGCTGTTTTCATCCCGCTGTGCTTTAACACATGCACAAAGTCACACATGTCACAAGCTTTGCTTTGAATAGTTTGAGGTTCAGTTTCACAGAAACCTGGCAGGCTTCATGGCCTCAGAAGAGGCTACTAGTCCTGCTGTTTTCATCCCACTCTGCCTTAACACACACGGGACAAGTTTTGCTTTGAACAGTTTGAAGTACAGTTTCACAAAAAACCCTGCACCTATCTCCTTGAAACATGGCAGGCTGCATGCCCTCTGAAGGCGCTACCATACCTACAATTTTCATCTGAATCAGGCAAGAAATGACAAAGTTATAGGCATTTCAGTGATTCCCCATTATAGCCTATGGCTGAATCACGGAAACAACCTCGAAACCCCGAAACAGATTCGGCTGAATCAAAATGGAACAGTGATCTGAAACACCGAAACAAATCGCCATCCTTTGAAATGGCTGAATCTGAAACTGAAACAAAACATAGCCATTTCGGACAGCCCTACTGACCGTAGTACATCCTTTGTGTACTGAAGTTAAAGAAACAGTGAAGCCCTGCCTCAGTGGCCTGTAAATAGGACACCTTTACCCTTCCTTTAATCTCTTGTTGTCTTATTATTTTATTAGATGGATGAATCGTCTGGGTCTTGCAGCCATTGGTTACACACCTGATGACAAGGAAATTCGTCCAGATGAAGGTAAGTCTTCTGTTATTTTAAATGAAATGCTTTGGAGAAAAATAAAGTTCAGAAAATGGTCTGGTTAACTGAATCATGATATAAACAAAATAGGACATAAATATCTCACAACTGAGTTCTGCATTAATATGTATGCAGTATCTTTTAATCTTTTTATGTTTCATAGATATGCAGACCCCTTTCATATATTTAATTGAGCCATCAGCAGAGAAAATAAAATTCAGAATAATCCTTTGAAAAGTCAAAGAAAGGTTCTTGGGACAATCTTAGGAAAAAAAACATTTTGATGAATATAGCATGGCTGTTTTACATTTGGTATAAAAATGATAAATAAAAGAATTAGGATCATATTGTGTCTTGCTCTGCATAGCAGTCTGTTAGTGCCATCAGATATGTGAGTCATTCTGAAAGGAGAGTGTCATAATCACTGGGCAAGCTGCACTAAAGAATCCTTCCTGAGTGCACCATTCAGATAGCAGACTTTGTTCCCTTAACCCAGGGATGTCCAACTGGTGGCCCACAGACCATAGGCAGCCCACGAGGGGCCAGCATGTGGGCTGTGGGCCCCTGCAGTCACCTCTCCCACTGCTGCACACTGCTGCACACCAGCACTGCCCACATGGTAGAAAGAAAGTGCATTTTTGAAGCCCGCCTCCACATCATACGCCCTGCCTTAACCCATTGAGAAGCTAGAGCTGCATGGTACAAAGAGCTTGTACTGGATCTCTTGGTTGTGCCCCATTGTTTCTCAACTTCTAAACGCAACAAGCATGAGTGTTCTTTGGCACCTGCAAGGACCAGTGACTGATTAAAGTGAACTCCCTTTGAAATCAAATTAAGATAAGCGTATAATCAGGGCTGATGCTTTTGAGAGTCTCACTAAGCACATATGTGTCTTTGGTCCCCTGAATGCCTTTGAAAATTGGGTGCTGAAAGATGTGGGGGGGAAAATGCACATTACTGGAAGTGTTACTTGGACCCGGCTCCTTGGCATCTGTATAGATTGGGTGCTTCAGCAGGGCTTTTTGGAGCTTTTATCTAATAACTGATCCAATCAGCTATTAGATAAAAGTGCCAAAAAAGCCCCATTAAAGCACCCAAACTATACAGACATTGGGGAAGCTGGGTCCAACTAACACAGTGCCTCTTCTGGGCATGTGCTAGGCTTGGCATGGGAGCACACTGGGTTTAAAATAAAGTACCGTTTCTGGGTTTGTTTGTTTTTTACATGTCTGCAAGCAGATATTTTATAAAATAGCACATAGGTTTCAAGGTGCTCTTGAAAATTTTACTTTGGCCATATTAAAGAAAAAAATTTTCAGTTATATATTGAAAATGTTGCCAAAACTATCTTTTGACTAATCACATCAATGAAATATTAAATGTTTTATTAGCAGATTACTGGAGTGAAAGTGACCAGGACGATATTGATGGCTCTTTAACTCTGAAACAGGAAGGCTCCTCAACACTGGGTGACACCTATCATCGAACACCCTCAGTAAGTCATAAACACTGCATCCTCTACTATGCCAATAAATAAACTTCTGTGGTTCCTTGGTTTCCATGCTGCTTCTGCTTGTTTTACAGTGATATATATACAGAACAGAGGTGGGACATAGATATAAGCAAAAAGAATATTGTATAGGAACTAATATTATATTACTATATATCAGGGTTGGGCAATTATTTTGGGAGGAGGGCCGCTTACCCAGTTTTGGAAAGCTGTCGAGGGCCACATGGGTAGCCCTGCCCCTTGACAGGGGCCCCAACCCCTGGTCACCGTCTTGGGACCAATGTCCCAATGACTTGGGACCAATGTCTCAGGGCCAGCACCAGTGGAGCACAAAGCGGGGTGTAGGCCCGGCTCCATAGAGCCCCTGCCAGCCGGGACCCTGTAATCCTGTCACCCTGCTTTGGGCCCTTCTGATGCTGGCCCCAGGACACTGGTGTGGGCCCCGTGCTCCCACTGACTCCCACACCCGCTCACTCCCAGTGCCCCCTCAGTCCCACAGTACAGGTGGGGGCTGCCCCCGACCCCCTGCTCACTGGCAGGGAAGGAGCTGGTGCTGAATGTGGGGAAAAGAGGCCTCTCCCCCACCCCATGGCCCGTGCTCCCTGCATCCTGCACGGGGTGAGCAGGCACAGGCAGCCCCACATGGGCTGTGAGCAGCTGCAGCACAGGGCGCTGGCCATGGAGCGGGTGAGGGGTCACTTTTCCCATGCTCAGTACCAGCTTGCAGCCTACCCCCACTGCCAGCCTGGGCCCCACGCCGGCTCCGGGCTCGCCTGTTGGGGTTGCGCCATGGCAGCAGCAGCTGCTTGGCATGGTGGAAAGCAGCCCCCCTGTTTGCCACGCCAGGCAGTGTTTGCTGCTGCTGCCCACCCAGAGTTCACACACTAGGCAGCACAGAGGTGGCAGCGGCAGCTGCACACTGCCCGGCGTAGCAAACGGGGGGGTTGCTTTCCTCTGCAGTGAGAAGCTGCTGCCGCCGCAGCCCAGCCCCGATGGGTGAGCCTGGAGCTGGTGCGGGGCCCAGGCTGGCAGCGGGAGTGGGTTACAAGCTGGTGCTGAGCATGGGTAAAGTGTTCCCTTCCCTGCCTCATGGCCAGTGCCCCATGCTGCAGCTGCTCACAGCCCATATGAGGCTGCTGACAGCCCCATGCAGGCTGTGAGCGGCTACAGCAGAGAGTGCCGACCACAGGGCAGGGAAGGGGCCGGTTTTCCCCACACTCTGCACCAACTCCTTCCCTGCCCGGGGTCCTCCCCTGCCTTTCCCCCACCTTGCCTTAGTTTCCCACGCCACTGCAGCTGAAGAGCCACATGGTCCCAGTCCAAAAGCCCCTGCTTGGGCTTCCAGCTGGGGGGGTGGGGCTGGGCAGGCCCTGCTTTTGCAGGAACCCACTGGGGCTTCCCCTGGGTCCTACTGCCCCTTACTCCTGTCATTTTTGAAAGGAACCAAGGAGAGATAAATATTAATTTTCTAAATTTTTAGGGGCCCCGTGGGCTGGATAGAATGGCCTCACAGACTGAATTCAGCCCACGGGCCAGATTTTGCCCACCCCTGCAATATAGAGAGAAACATAGAGAAGTAGGGCTGGAAGGGACCTCCGTAGGTCATTTAATCCAACCGCCTGTCTGAGGCAGGAATATATACATTACTACAGGGGTTGTCAACCAGGAGTACATATACCCCAGGGGGTACTTTGAAAGGTCCCAGGGGGTACGCAGGGGCAGGCAGGGATAGAGCATCGCTACCCTTCGCTGCTGCCTCACAGGAGCAGGGCCAGGGTGGAGCGAGAGCAGGGCCGTACAGATGCTGTGCTGCCACCGCTCCACCACTCACCATACCCCCATTCCAAAGCTAGCTGCTTGCCCCCCCCACCGGGTACATTTACTAAAAAGGGGGCTGCCAGGGGCACACTTATTAAAAAAGGTTGAAACCCCTTGCATTACTATATATATTACTAATAAGATAAGAGCAGGAGTGAATATTTAAAATATATTATTCACAGGGAAGACAGGCTACTGTGTCAGTCTACTGTAGCCAAGTCAGTTTTCTTTCTTTTTCTAAAAAAAACTGATACAATATAGAAATATACCTGAATTATGAAAGAAATGTCCTGAGATCGGATAATCTCTGATAAGCAAAGCTTTATATCCTTATGCCATAATTACTGGAAATGAAGATCTTTAGATCACAATCACACAATAGCTCTGATTTGGAGAATAAACTTTCTAAGAAGCGTATTTTAAAGACAAATTTCTTCCAAAACATACCAATTTATTTTACAATATTTTTCATGACAAGTGTTGTAACATGAAAAGTAACTAATAGAAACACTTTGTGTGCAGTGCATGGGTGGATTGTCATAACTGATAAAAGCATTAATGCTATGCAATATATGGGCAGGCTCTGATAGCTGCTGAAAGTATTGCTGGTGTACAGAATATGGGCAAGCTGTGATATTCAGCCTGTATTTCGAAGTGCAGATAGGACTGTTTTCTATTTTTCTTTCAGATTTGTCTTCAGCGTGAATGACATGATCCTCACACAACCAGAACCAAAGAAAAAGAGACTGAGGCAACAGCATCACATGGGTGAAGTTCAGACTGATTTTCACCCATGTGATGCTGTTTTATCAACCAGGATACAGGTTAAGCCCCTCCCTTTCTGTTTTTCCACTTTTTTGCCTTTTTATTTTTATTAAGATGATAAACAGACCAAGCAGAATTTAATTAACATGATTTGGATAAGCTCAGCAGTCCCCTAAAATTTAAATGTCTTCTTGGGTGCTGAAATTTGTTTTTTGTTTTTTCTTCCTGTTTGGCTGGAACATCTACCCCCTGAAAAGAAAGGAAATTCAGTTATTGTTTCCTTGGGGGCTTTCATGTCTTCCTCACAACACACCGCTGGACTGGGTGTAAGCTGGGTAGGTCTTTAGAAAACCTGTACCAGTGCTATGCTGTCCCTTCCAGCAGGAGTTGCTCTTGGGCAGAGAATGTGTCAAAACAAGAATAGGGAGTGGTTAAAAACATAGTGCTTACATAAAGTATAATCCCATTAGTTGCCTTCTTTTCTAAGAGGCTTATAATAGGACATACCAAAACACACAGATCAGACCATTTGGTTAAAACTAACTGTATACTGTAATTTATGTCTGGAGCTTTTCCTATGTCTCTTCACAGTTCTGTCTAACTGTCAGATGCTTTGATTATTTTTAGGTGAATTCTTCAAGTCCATTCCCTGAACCCAAACATGGCCGACATTTTTCAAGTGAATCAACTCATTCTCATTCTTCTGCGGAGGACTCCCGACAAGATGCCACAGGAAGTACACATTCATCAGGATGCAGGCCTTCCTACCGAGAAAGGCGCTCATGGCAGGACCTTATAGAGACCCCTTTAACCAGTTCAGGGCTCCATTTTCTTCAGACTGTTCCTCCTGACTCAGAATACATAAGTGGTCGACCTGGAATGTCACCAGATAAGCGAAGACAAGCAACATTACCAGTCCAAAGACGTCACAACCATGAACGGGATGGGCCTTTCCCACTAGTGGAATGTCAGAGAGGACATAGTTCTCACAGTAGGCCTCAGAAACAACGTAGTCAGAGTCTTCCGCGAAACAGAGATGTCAGGAGCAAGGGATGTGTAAAGTCTGCAGGCATATCAGAAGAGATGCCAGAAGAGAAACTTCTTATTAAAAGGCAAAATAGTTTCTGTAATGAAGGTATGGTTGTGCAAGGATTGTAACCCAATAATCTCCACTGAATTCAGTTGGCACTTTGCCATTGACATCAATGATGCATGACTGATGTGTGACTGATTTCTTAATTTCCAAAAAACCTTAATCCTGGACACCTCATCAGTTACCTTGTCATAGATGCTACCCTTTAGTTTTGGTTGAGATTATCTACCTATGTTCAGATTCCAACTATAGTTTTAACCAAAATGTTCCGATTTTATCAATACCTGAGCTGGGGGAAGGTGTTACGTGCTAATTCCACATACCAACTTGCAGAATCCTTGACCTTTTCAGGGTCATTCATTGCTCTCTCACCTACCTGCATCATTGTTAAAAAAATTATAAACTTTCTTTCAGAAAATACAAAGGAAATACAAGAAAGTACAGATGGTCTGCAACAGTTGTACAGGTCTTTGGAACAAGCTAGCTTGTCGGCCTTTGGAGAACAGCGACCCTCCACCAAGCAGGAATTCCGTAGGTCTTTTGTAAAGAGGTGCAATGACCCAATTGTCAATGAAAAGCTTCATCACATCAGAGTTCTCAAGAGCACTTTAAAAGTAAGCTTTAATCATTTATTATTTTTATGTTTAACATGACATTGTAACATTGTAACCTCTTAACATGTTCATTGTTTAGATGTAAGCAAAGAGAATATTATATGCATATTATTATTATTATGACTAGCAAAATGCCCATCATGAATGATAGGGAGGAGGGGGCAGAACTGGGACAGAGACCCATGTGCTCCAGGTCCAGCCCTGCCCAACCTCCTGCTGCCGCTCCAGGTCCTGCCTTGATCCCCCCTACTGCTACCACCATTCTTGGTCATGTCCCACTCCTCTTGTCACTCTGGGTCCAGCCCCACTCCAACCCTCCTCCCTGCTGCTCTGCATGCAGGGGGCATGACGTGAGGCTGCATGGGGGGCTGGCTGTAAGGCATGGCATGGAGAGAGGCCACGGTGCAGAGAGCACTTGTTGGTTGCATGGTGTGGGGAGCGGCCCTGGGGTGTGATGCCTGGTGCATGGTGGGGGGTGGCACGCGCCATGGCATGGGGAGTGGCCACAGCAGAGAGAGCTCCCACCGGCTGCAGCCACATGGGTGGGGAGCAGTCCTGTGTGGGGGGCAGTCCCGGGATGTGGGTGGCATGGTGCATGGCTGCACCAGGGGTGTGGCATGTAACCATGGGGCATGGCACGGGAAGCAGCCACAGCACGGGGGCACAAGGAATTTTTGCCAGTGGCAGCCACATGGCGTGGGCAGTGACCCCGGGGTGTGGCATCGGGTGCGCAGGGGCCTTGGTGTATGGCCATGGGGCATGGCGTGGGAAGTGGCCATGGTGCGGGAAGTGCCCGCAAGTTGAGCCTGTGTGGTGTGGGGAGTGGCCCCAGGGTTTGGCCTGGGGTGCACAGGTGGGATGTGGGGGGGGATGGGGTGTGGCCGTAGGGCATGGTGTGGGGAGCAGCCCTGGGGTGTGGCGTAGGGCACGTGGGGGAGCATGGCACTTGGGGTAGGTGGCGTGGTACATGGAGGGGCCTGCCACATGGATGAGTGGAGGGGCTGGCGTGTGTCCACAGGGCGTGGCGTGGGGAGTGGCCACGGTGCAGGGAGTGCCTGCTGGTTGCGGCTGTGTGGCATGGGGAGTGGCCTCAGGGTGTGGCATGGGGCACATGGGCTGGCATGGGCTGCCAGCCACTCCCCATGGGGGAGTGTGGCCACAGGGCGGCCCACGCACTCCCGTGCTGGCTCCTCATGTGCCCACGTGCCATACGCCCCATGCCCTTCGCACCCCATGGCTGCAGCCAGCGGGCACTCCCTGTGCAGGGGTCATGGCATACAGATGCATGGGGGGGTGTGGCATGCTGCAGCCAGCTCTTTGCACCATGCCCCCCACAAGCCCCGCAGCCCATGGCCACAACCAGTGGGCTATCCCCACACAGGGGGGGCATGGTGCACAAGGGGGCATGGTGTGCAGCCACAGGGTGCCACATGGGGAGTGGGCACGAGAGGAGCCACATGGAGAGCTGCCTGTGCACCCAGCACCCGGTCCCTGTGCGGGACCCTGCAGCCAAGCGCCATGCCCCCCCTGCACCACATGCCACACCCCCACACAGCCGCACACCACATCCCCCACAGAACCGCATGCCATGACCCCCACCCCTCACCTTCCTTCCCCTTGGTGTGGTGGAGCATACCCTGGCCCCACCGCCTCCACCTCCACCTGTGTGTCTATCTGCCAGTAAGGTTCCAGGCAGCGCATGCACAGTTGGCCTGGAGCATTATGGATAGACAAACACACAGCCAAAAGTACTATGGCTTTTATTATATTAGAATTATATATTCAATGATTATATTTAGACAAAGAATTAGGTCACAAATAAACTGCCAACACTGAAAGTAAGAAAATGCTCACCTCACAAAAAAAGATCAAAACTATTTAACGCACTTATTAGCTGTGTCATGGAAGGTGCCTGTGTCATGGAACTATCCAGCTGACTTCATTTTTGAAATTAAAGGTGATCTCTGAAGTCATATTGAAGGCATATTGTCAGCTATGAGGAGGATTACATAGCCTTTCTGTTCAAACTGTTCAGAACTGTTCAAACTTTAACAGTTCTATCTAAAGAAAGGACTTCTGTTTTCATGTCAGCTGCTCTAGCATTTTCATTAGCTCTAAAGAAGAAATAAAAGGCCCAAATAGAACATGGCATAAATTGTATTTTTAAATGTGCTCTGTTTTTTTTGTCATTTGATAGGCAAAGGAAGGAGACCTGGCAATTATCAACAACCTTCTGGATGATCCCAGCTTAACATCAAAGAAATTTAAAGAATGGAAACTACAGAACTATGAATTCTTCCTGGACATTTGTGAGTACAGTGCTGCTCTGAAATCTCAAAATGGAGCCTCTGAACTTGCAACCCCAGCACCACTGCTGACACACACACATTCATTCATTGAAACGCACGTCTGACAGGACTAGCAGCTAAACACTTGTTGAGTGCCATGAAAAATCTAATAAGACAAACACTGTAATATTTGTAAATAATGTACTCAGCAGTATTGTAAATAAGTTGGATAAGAGAATAGTGCCACAGGATGCCTACTACATTGCATGATAAAACAGTAATATTCTGTTCTGGATTATTTTTGTTTGCTATTATCTGCCAACATGCGTATCGAGCTCTGCATTAGAAAGAAGCAGTACAGAAGTGTAACTGAAAAGAAATAGCAGTATACTTACTTACGTACTGTACTAAAGCTAAGCTTATAATAATGAGCTCCTACAATCATTTTATATATTTAGATATATATATAATATAAACATATCTATGTATATAAAATGTGTAACATGATAGTTTATATTTATTTTTTAAAATACCCTAAAATTTACATCTTCAAAAGCTTTTCTTCAAAGAAATACAAAACAAATAAAAATACTTTGACCAGTCTTAAGACTCTACATTTATTTTCTCAACATTTCCAAACAGTGACAGCTACCATCTTTGAAATCAGACCAAACCAGTATCGTTAAAAAGTAAACTTAACCCTTTTAATGTGCCTTAAAAGTAGGGTATAAACCCAGCAAGTATTGTAATTTGGCCCTGTGGACATACTGTACACACCACTTATGCTGTGCTGTGTGTAAAATAACTTCCTGCCTTTAATAGGAGTGGCCTCAGACATGTAAGTATGGCACAGAAGAGGTTAAGATACAAGTAAAACAAAGCTGGTTGTCCCCTGATACAAATCTTGAAATGCCTTTTAATTGAATCTGACATATTTCATGCGAAAGAAAAAACATATTTTTTTCTGAAAATGGTAGCTGTTGCAATTTTCATAATTTCTTCACCATGAATTTAGTGCCACAAACCTGTGAGTCTCAAAATGTAGACATTATTTTCTGATGCTTTAAGGCTGAGAGTTAAGTAAAAAAAATCTGAACTAATCAGTTCTTTTGTATACCAGTCTATCATATACAGCTGGGTAAATAATTCTTATTCACTATTCAAAATTCACTAAATTTCTGTGAATAATTCTTTATGGATAGTTCATTAACAAGGTAATTGCAGCTATTCAGTACAATATTTGAGGTTCAATCTGTATTGATTAGCTTTGATTAGACACATAAATCACATAGTATGTTTCTGTTCTCTGCCTGAATCAGAGTAATTTTTAAAAAACAGATTTTTGAAGTAAATATTTGCATTTATTTTAAAAAATGCTTTCTTTGAATATTTCTAACTCTGCACTTTAAAACCACTGTCCCTGCCAACATTCCTGCCAGTAAATTTACTCGCTAGAATATTCCTAAAAAGACAAGTTAAGGAGGATATGAACACAGTCAAATGAATTTAATGTATAAATGTGTACAAATATTCATGGAAAATGCTTTTGCAGTATTTGCCCAGTTCTGCTTTTATAGAAGGAAAGAGATTGTAAAATACATGGAATGAAAGAAGGTAACTCAAGGAGGTGAATCCAGTATTTAGACAGAGATTTACTTAATTCATACTGACAAATATTTAGGAAGAAAGCATCCCTTTTGTTTAGTATTATTTCCACTAAGTAGGTGAACTAAAAGGAATGCTACTCACACTTATTTTTTGTCATTCCTATTTTGCCAGCATGTATTTGAACCACAGTGGACACAGTGATAAAAAATATCATGCTAAAGTAATTGTTAATGGAACAGCATTACTGACATTTGTACTGGATTCTCTTCATTACACAAGCTCTTGAATCGTGACATCATTGTACTATATCATAATAACATCTGGATAGAACACACAAGATAAATCCATATTGAGCCTGATTCAGCAAAGCCATTAAACCCACGCTTAACTTCCAGTTAAGTCAACAGCCTTTTAGCGTGTGCTTCAAAGCTTTGATCCTCTTTCTACTGAAGTTTATAGCAAAACTCCTATGAGCTTCAGTGTAGCAGAATCTAAGCATTTTGCTGAAGGGATGTATTTAATCATGCACTTAAAGTAAGATTGTGCTTAAATGCTTTGCTGATTTGAGGCAAAAATGATGGTGCAGGAAATAGAAAAAGAAACATTTGACATCACAGATTTCACCAAAATCAGAGTTGCAATTTTATGTAAACAGTGAAAACACAAATCTGAATGTATTTACTATGTGAACATTTTAGTTAGTGCACCACTGAACAGACAGAGCATGAAGAAGAGAGAATTCTTATCTTTCTAACTTTTGTTCTTACAAGATCTCTAAATAAATAAATAAATATATATATATATATATATATATATATATATATATATGTATGTATATCACTATTTTTTTATCGCTGTCCTCCATGTGGTGTGAGAGGAATAATATGTACTGAAACAAGCAATGGTGTAAAGTGGAAAAGCCACTTTGAAAATTGTACTGCATACTGTAAGTGCATTAAAAAGAAGTTATAGATGGCCACAGAATAGTAATTGGTTGAGCTTCTGATGTTCTTACTGAAATGTAAACATACATTTTGTTTCAGCCCTAAACTACAATCTGTACTTTTGTCCTAAATAGACAAAACAGATAAGATTTAAAAACAATATTCAAAGGGGATGCCATTATATCATAACCCAAAGATCAAAAAAATGCCACTTGATCAGAGAATGTGCTAAATTAACTCCAGTAAAATTAAAGTGAGCTCTCTCTCAAATGTTAATTGGATAAAGCTAAAATGCTATAGTAAAAATTCTCTCAGAGAATATATGCCTCTAAAAATAAACAAAAATAGTAAATTCAAGAGATTCAATATCAACCTTCATTTCTCAGAGGGTTTAGCATGATTAAAAGAAAAATAATCAAAAGTATTTCTGAAAAATAATGAGTGACTGGAATTAGTCTGGGCCATAAAACTAATCCTTCCCACAGCTAAAAGATCGCAACTTTGTTTGATCATATTTTCTTAAAATGGTTTCAGTGGCATGAATCTACTTATTTGAACTTCTAAGTGACATGAGGCTATATTTCTCTCTCAGAGAGTAATCCCTATTAAAGAAGCCAAAATTTATTTTGTTTTTTTGGGAGGGAAAAAAGAGCAAATACTTGAAGTGAACTATTTTTCCTTGTTGTATATCTTGAAGATCTTTTGCATTGCTGGGGTTAATTGGGAGATTGAGATTAATTGGGAGAGAATTTTGGGGCGTATATCTAGCCATGCCGAGCCCCTAAAGCAAGGAAAAATTAGGTTTTTCTAAGTCCACAATATAGTAAGTTTATTTCTTTCTCTTTTACAAATGTCAGCTGGCACTAATATGTTGATACAGTCCAAGTATTACCAGCAGAATTTTGACATATTTTTCTTGCATGCATATACAATTCTATAAAAATAAAGCTGCTTCTACTGTATCTAGGCATTAACATCAATGTAGCTATATTATACAAATGATGTACTAACGTGCATTAGTACAAACTGTATGGAGTCTGGTGATCTTTGAACCAACTGGAATGCAAAATGCAATCCAGAAATTTAATTTACAATCACTAGGTCCAATCCTGCTTCCATGAAATCCAGTAAGTGCTTCCACCATATTGAAAACAAATTGACTGTGATTATACAGCCTGAAGCAAGATATGATTCTGCTCTGATTTTGATGGGAAAAATCAAGACCAGTATTAGTATTTAATATTTACTAATTCAACAGAATTCCTGCATAAAAGCTAAGATAAATGCTGTATTTTCATTTTCACACCATATAAACAGTGTGTTCAGATATATTTTATTTTTTCAAGAACTTTCAAGTCACCCAAATACTTGTAGGCTTTATTCAGACTTGTTGCCAACAATATTTATAACCAAAGAACATGTGTCATTGAATCAGCATGGCTTTCCTGTGACTCCATAAAGTCTTTTTATTGCTAACTGTTCTTTTTATAACCAGTATAATGCTCCCCACTACACAAGAGAACCTCACCTATATTTTTTACCATTATTGTTTCCTCTCCCCTGAGTTCAGGTCTTTGATCATCATGAAAACTATCTCAGTGGCATTTCCTGAAGGGTCTGAGGTGTTTGTTCTGTGTTTGTTTTTTTTAATGAATGCATCAGTGAACTCATTCTATTTAATAAGAACATGGAATAATCAAAGGGAAAATAAGCTCTAAGCAGTTAGCACACCAGTATTCTTTAATGTACCAGAGACAGTGGGTCAGATGCTGTCTTTTAGCCTAGCCTCTATATGTGACAGTATGTGGACACTACATGAGGTGGAGTGACAGTTCTGGTGTAGGCAACTGTTCTGCCAAAGTGGGTGGCAAGAGCATTCTGGTATGTTATAGTGCTATGGAGATTCTTCGTTATGACACACAGCCTGTAGGTAACTCCTGAGAACAGGGCCATCCCTGGTGGGGGGCAAATCAGGGTGACGAGCCTGGGCCCCGCGCTTTGGGGGGCCCTGTGGAGCTGGGTGAAGCGGCTGCAGCGACTCTGTGCCACTGCCACTTGCTTCGCATCCAGCCACTCGCTACCCCTTCCTCCCCATCTGTGACACCACCACTGCCTGGCAGCAGCAGCCTCTTTGGGTCCGGGGCATGTGGGATCAGAGCTGGGGCGGGGCCCCACATGGGCTGATTTGCCCCAGGCCCTGCACCCTGCTCGGGTTGGCTCTGCCTGAGACACTGCTATAAATTACAGCAACCATTGGCTGCTCTGGTTTACTTTGGGGGCTGCATTTGCCCTCACAAGATCTGCAAATCTGAAGTTGCTAAGGTGATTTAAAGCCCTCTTTGCCCCACCTCAGACTAAACTCCACTTTTTCAAAATTTGAAAGAAAGCTCTTTCTGTCTCCTGAAGATCAAGAGCTGTCCTACTGTTGTGCCAACTCCGTGCTCCTAGTTTCTCAAGCAGACCTTTCTGCCACTGTTCTGGGATCATTTGTTTTCAAAAAACTCTAGGGCCGTGTATAGGTGAGCATGGACTTGCAGTATGTGGTGCGGCAGACCCATCTGCAGCAGCACACACCGCATGTGCAGATGTTCCCCAAGCTGCTACTTTGCAGTGGGGGCAGGGGGATGGGTTGACCCTTAGAGATGCCAAGGTAAAAAAAAAACATGCCCTAAAAAAGCAGGGGGGCACACATGGTGGCAGCACACGCTACCCAAAACTGGAGACTGGCCTGCTGGAGCCACATGCCAGCTGCCAGCCAGGTTCCCAGCTGCAGGAGCACTGTAGC